GGTCATGATTGCTTCGTATGCTGATCTCCGGGAGCACAATCAAGGCAACTTTGTGGAATAGGCAAGAGCCGTAAAGTCGCCTTTATTGAGACGCTCCCGGGAAAGGCAATTTAGATAGGATCTTGCCGTCTCGCGGCAGATTCCACTGGTGGCAAACAATCGGCGCTCATCCGAGCCTAGATATCACATCCTTGGGTATACACTCTGTGGGGACACCAACTATGGCCTAACAGCAGCCGTTAGCACAAATATTTTGGGCAGTAAACTTACACACCTTGCGCATAATCTCCTGTCCGCCAACTTCCCACCCACTCTCCGCGACAGGAAGCATAACACGCCCCAATAATCGTTCAACCAGTTCCCCAATCCCATACTTCTCTCCTGTATATTTTCTCCACGCGAGTATATTCGCCAATAGTTTACTCATCTTCGAAAGATACCTCGCTCGTGCGGGGACGGACTCCGGATCAAACGGTGGTGGCGCTTGGGACGGAGCAAGGTATGGCCTGACCTGAACCTGTGCCTCGTCTACGGCCTTGCGAAACGGTACGATACAAGCACCAAGGAGAGCACCTATTTTAGTCGCATCCGCTTCGAGCGTCGCCTCGATCTGTTCCGCCAGATCTTTCAATCGCCTAATGTGCCTCGCACTGTACGGATCTAAAGCGCCGCCCTGGACAAGCTTGGCTACTCGAGGGATAATAGCTGTGGCTACCATTGATAGCACCAAGTCTTCGTCGGCTGTGGGTTCCATTGGTTCGCCCACATCGTTTACCGGGCGTGAAAAGTCATGCAGAGAGCTGTACCACCTGAATTCGTCGAGTGAGCGGCGGTCCTGCATTCATAATTCATAAATCACTGGATAGAGTTGGGATGAAATACGCACCACCATGGGGTCCCACAAGCAAATCTCCAACCTACACCACATCTCCCAGGCACCGACCACCCCGAGCGAGCCCCACGCACCCTGGTAGCTTTCCCCCCATGTGCTCCTCCACTTTCCAAACCACCTCGCAACGCCTTTTCGAGGGTCCCGAAACTCCTCCGACGTCACGTCTGCAAATACACCTACCGCACGTTCTCGGCACCGTTTCACCGCAACCTCAAAATCACGTTCGTCATCAGAACCGAGCGATCCATCAGTGGAATATCCCTCGTCGGGATGGGAACTTGCGCCAGTGCGTTTGGTTCTTCGGGATTGTCGCGCCGTACGGCGAGCACGACGGACGGCAGATTGCGGGGCCGAGGAACTAGGAAGGGTTCGTCCGAGGTCGTCGACCTGTTCCATTTCAGTTTCGTCGCTTGGAGCTCCGAGGAAGAGCGAGAGATCGTCTCCGAGATCTTCGTGGCGTCGTTTTGCCAACATCTCAGCACGTTCGGTGAGGAGTGAAGCGAAATCTTCTTCGATCTTCTCAACCCTCGGAAACTATGCAAATGTCAGCATCACAACCTGCAGAAAAGTAAATCACAAACCTTTTCGTCCAAAAAGTCAGTCAAACTATCCATCCACTCCTTGAAGCCAGTGAACCAAGCACGTTTCTCCTCTGTCTCGGTTACAAGCTCCCGTAACCTCGCTTCTTGTTGTTCAAGAGATGTACGTTCGTCTCCCAAGGAAATCAGAGACTTGGTGTTGGCGGCGTGCGAGGTGGTTAGCTTGGTCAGGGCTTGCGACAGGCGGGCAATAGCAGGGTCTAACGTGGGGACCGGGGTTTGAGCTGGGACTAAACAGCAAATTAGTTGCGGGTACAGGTCGAATAGAAGGCGCATACTCGGATGTGGCTTATACACCTGCTTTTCTTCCACGATCAAAGCACGATTGTTGTTTCCGCCTCTTCGAACTTGTGCCTGCTCCCAAGCTTGCGTCTCTTCGTCATCCTCCTCACTACACCAAGTCAGTCCGCGCCATGGAAACTAGTGAATACACTCACACATCCTCGATCATCTCGATCATCCCCGCTTTTCTCCGTCGTTCTTCTTCCTTCCTGCCCTTTTTGCCCAGCGCGATCCGCTCCTGCGCGCCAGTATACTCTGCGTCGTCATCATCACCTTCTCCCAAGTCGTCGTCCTCTCGCATAAGCCGGCTCTCAGGATGAGGCCCTTGGTCTATCTCCATATCATCGCGCCGCGCCACAGATAATGATATAAAATCCTCTTGAGGTATTGTCTTGCCAGTGACACGCATGCGCTCGCGTTTCTTTTTTGCTTCGAGTACTACAGAAGACATCGGGATTTCAGTTGCACGCCCTAGCCACGGAAACGTGAGTGGGAATCGAACAAAAGTAGTCAAGATAACTTACTGTCGAAAACGTCACCTGCATCGAGGTCGTTTTCAACCACCATCGCCCCTTCGGCTTCGTCGATATCCAATGTCATTTCTACGTCTTGTGAACTGGGTGTAGGCACCGCGGGTGCGGACAAGGTGGCTGCCTTGAGCTCATCTAGGTACGCTTTGTCGTATACAGGGCCAGAACTTGTCCTAGCAGTGATGGTAGCCTGTTCAAGCGAGTCTGGCATTCGAATCCTGTAGTCGAGTTAGAGACCTAAACATTGGAACAACATGTAACATACGCAGCAGGATTCGCTAGCTTGCTCTTTCTCTTGGGAGTCACCCCCTCCGACCCGTTCTGCCCCAAACTAAATCAGAACTTTTCTCGCGGGATTCACGATCGCTCACCTCTTCGTCCTGCCCAAAGCTCAACTTTGCGCGCGCCTTTTGTTTGCTCTTGAACTTGGTCATGAGGCTCATTGCCCCTGGGCTCGATTCTTCTTTGCTAGCGTCATTTTCAGGTTCTGGAGATGGCGGACGAGCGCGGTTCGGTCGTGATTTTGTACGCTTGAAAATGGCAGCTGGAGCATCAGACATCGAAGTCGTCGAGTTGGTCTGGTCAGACTCTGGTGCGGTAAGCGCTAGAGTGGCTGTGATTTGTCACGTGCTCAGTCATTGGCAATTTTTATAAATTATGAAGTCTTTCGCCCGCTCAAACCTAGCGCCCCCCGTACGCGAAGCCTAAGGTTAAGTCAGGAAATGACGCATAATGCCCTGTAAACATGACAAAAGCTCTATGAAGGGTTCGCAAACAGCCGATAATGGCCCGACAAAGTTGTAAGCATGTGGCCGTCGTGCCGTGCCGGTTCGACGCATATAGGTATGCTTTTAGAGCCACTGAAGCTCCAAAAAAGATGACTGTGGGGGTTTAAAATATTTGCGCGCGGTCAAATATCTCGGACAAGCTCAAGTGCTTCGGGATGCGGAAAGAGGCGTATAAAATATTAAATTAATTTTGCCCTGACTCGAGCACCGGAACACAGAGATTTGGTGAGCGAACGGTGGAAGCGCTGCGTCTGTTGAATGAGCTAGGGACCTTGAATACGTACAGAAGACCTCACAACAGCCTATATATCAATATGCGAATGATGAAACTCCATAAGGAGTAACATCATGTGGTCACGATAAGCTCCGGTCGAGACACGGTCTCACGATTCCCACGCGGTTAGCAGTCAGATGGGCAGCCCTAGCAGCGTTCCAGTAGTGCAGCTGAGGTTGAGTTCTATCGACTTGAACATGTGACTAAAACATGGGGCCATTTCCTCCGGAACTGACAACTCCCGCTTAGCTCAGTGGTAGAGCGCGTCACTAGTAAATTACGTAAACGCTTACGTAATGACGAGGTCAGTTGTTCGAATCAGCTAGTGGGAAGCATTTTTGTGCATTTTTCTAAGTTGTTTTAGCTTCAGAAGCGAAATACAGAGTTTTTGGATTTTTCCGAAGTATATTGAGGCATTTATATTTTGTAGCACCCATGTTACTAGGGTAGAAATGGCCCAGGAATCCAATGGTATTTATTTCCTATTTTTCCAGCGCCGTTCAGAGGTGTTTCAGACAGCCGACTCGCCACCGTATGCCACATAGAGCTACTAAGAGCTCGGCGCTTAAGGCTCGACTCCCAGGGTTCAACAGCAGGTATCAAGCATACATTTATGAGAGGAAGTTATACTACAATTCAAGTTACCAATTTGTTCTTCTTCCCCAAAACCAAGTAAGGGGGGTACACTGTTGGGCGATTTCTCTGGCCCAGTTTTGGTGCACTGGCTACTCTGGTCAGGTAAAGGGCATTCCTGCTCGTGAGGTCATGAAGATGACTTGCTCCTAGTTTGTATAGCCTAAAATCCGTGCATACAATCCATCAATCTCAGATATTCAAGCATATACAAACTAAAAATAACCATTCCACTTTTACACCCCCCAAACACTATGGTGCTGTTTACGCAAAAGTATCAACGCCAACGGCCACTCGGCTGTAAACCCCTGCTTCCAGCCTTCCACATCAGTCCCCTCAAGCTTCTCTCCCCGCTCCCTCACATTCTTCACAAACCGATCTACAATATCTCTTCCCTCTTGATCCTTGTCATCCGGGTGGTTGTCCAGATAATTGTGCAAAGATGACCACGTCCTGAGGTATTGGTGAAACGCATCCCAGCTCAAGTACTTGGAGAGTATCACCGGATGCTTCTCGCCTTGCATGGCGGGCTCGTGAGTTCCTACAAAGTACACTCGACGGGTCGAATCGGGATCCCATGGCGGTGTAGTTGGCACCGGCACTTTTTGAAGGTAACCTTCGAGAATCGATCGACCTATGCGCGGAATTTCAGTTTCTAAGCTCTATGCGTGGCTAAAGACCTCACCTGGCTGCTCCCAATGCGGCCCCAAACTATCTTCATCATGCGAATACTTGGAAATCAAATGGTCTAGCGATGGCCTCCCTCCAAACCTCAGCTCGTTGTAATTCCAAATCGCCACTGTTCCACCGGGCTTGAGCACCCGCGCCAGCTCCGGGAATAACCTCTTGTAGTCAAACCAATGTGCCGCCTGGGCTATATTCTCCATGTAGGTAGCTTGAGCTGGGAAAAAGACAATGCTCACCAGCAATAGCCATATCCACCGACTCGTCTCCCAAAAACTCCAACTTTTCAGCCGGTGAAACCTCAAACGTCGGCTTGTTCACCAGATTCATCTGCTCAACCGCCAACCGAGCATTCTCGACCATCCCAGACGACGGATCACACCCAACGGCATGCTCGAAACGTTCGGCGACCGCGACCGTCGCTTGGCCTTGATACAATCAGCAGATACTATCAAACGGGGCAAACAACCCGACCTGTCCCACACCCCAAGTCTACCACCTTGTCCCACGCCGCACGCCCCGACTGTGCATGATAACCGTATATAAACTCGAACAACGACTTGGGATACGTTGGCCTAAATGAGGCATACGACGCGGCATTGAATGTTGATTTCGCAAACGTCGCCATGTCAAGCCCAGTTGATTAGCTCGTGTGAGAGCAAGTGTGAGAGAACGATGTAGGCGGCTCTGGTCTTTTGACGGAGACGGCGGAAGCCGATCAAAACGGCGCTCGATCACTAATAAGTCCTATTAAAGCCGATTTGGGACAATCGTTTCCATTACCATCTGGGGATATAACGAAAGAGCGTAAAACAGCATAAAAAGCACTGTTGGGGTACTAAAAGACTAAAGTAGAGTAAAAAAAGAAGTCAGGATTGGCCCAGGTTTGTTATTGCTCTGTCTCTGCATAGCTCTGCCCCTCGTATGCCTCGCTCGGAGCATCGACCTCGTACTGTTCTTCGTCGTCGACCGCGCTGTAAAACATAATGAGCAACGGATATATGCTAGGATGAAAGGACATACAGCGCATCCTGATACTGCTGATATTCGGCGACCAAATCCATAATGTTGGACTCGGCCTCTGTAAACTCCATTTGGTCCATACCCTACCGAGGCATAGTTTAGATCTACACAACCTGATCGAGTAAATTTTCGTACCTCGGCAGTGTACCAATGCAAGAACGCAGCTCGCTTGAACATGGCAGCAAACTACCGGCAACTTGTTAGTATGCTAAGGCTGACCTGAAATGGCAG